ATAACATATGTTTGACTTGGTTTGCTAATGCAAGAGTTGGAACTACGCACACTTAAAGTACTACAGAACAAAATAAAAATCCTAAAGCATGACATATATTTCAATGCTAATCATAATAAAAATTTATTATACTAAAACTATTATAATATTGAATGTTATCATTATCTAATAAATAAACTGATATAAACTACAGAAAAATATATGTTGTTGATAATTTTTGTTTTTTCTTTTGTTTTTTTTTCTCAATATTTTTAGGATGAGTTGCAATGAGATATATACTCACCATTCTAATTGTTAAAACTAATTTTTAGTTTTTCTTATTTTACTTTTCACTATTTTCTGATTCTCATGAAAATGAAGAGCATAATAACAATCAAGCAAACTATATGGAAAGCATTCGAGATCAAATTTCTGCATTTTTATGGGATTCACAATAATTTTATTTTGTATTTCAGATTTTTTTAAAAATAATTTTATTAAATAATTTTATGTATGTTTTAATGATGGTATTTTATATTTATATTTTTTCAGGAAAAAAATTATTATTAATAAAATTTTCATTTTGTTAATATAAAAAGCAAAAACCAAAAGCTGAAAACCAAAATGAAAAACAACCATTCATGCTTTTTTGAAAAACCAAAATCTACTACAAAATCAAAAACCAAAAACTAAAAACCAAAATCTAAAAACCAAAAACCAAAAACTAAAAACCAGAAACCAGAAACCAAAAACTAAGAAACAATCATCACCTAAAAACCATCCAAACAATCATCACCTAAACATTTAAAATTTAGTTTCCTACTTTATAGGAAAACACTTTTGTTAAAATCTTGATTGGCAATAATACAAGGTTTAGTTTTCCTAAATTGTAAGGAATTTCTTTTTTTTTTTTAAATCTTGATTGGACAAAAACGTAGCTTTTGAAAAACTAAAACTAAAAACCAATGCAAAATCTGCAAACAATCATCCTCTAAAGGGTTCTAAACCAAGTTTAAGTTCTATCTTCTTTTTCTTTGTTTTTGGATAAAAAACTGCAATTCTATCACTCATACTAGAAATGATGTAGGAGTCTAGATCAGAAATAAAACGACCACTAAAAACTGAATTTCTGTGAAAAGTTGCCGCAGTTCTGAAAAGTTTTATTTTCAAATGATACAGTTTCTTTCGGATTATAAAATTGTAAATTTTATTAGAAATTCCATAATGATATATGCAGAGTTGTTAAGTTGTGGTTCTGTGCAGTGGATATAGATCATATCCATCGAAGAAGTCGTATATGCAGAACCGTATGTTGATCTGAGTGTTAAAGAGAGAGCTAGGTCATAGAATCGTCATCCGTAATGATGTTATGAGTATCACATATGTTGTATGTAATTGATTATTATTTGTAATAAAAAATAAAATAATGTAATGAAGTAGAATTTAACTAGTGTCAAAAATACATTAAAGCTTCAAATTTTATTGTTCACTTTGGTACTAACTACTGTTAAAATTTTGTGGTTCCTCTTATAACTCTCCGTGGTGTTGTTTCTACGTTTCGCTGGTGTTAGTGGGGATGGGTGATTTTCTCACAGACGCCATTGTTGATGTGGAGATAGTGGTGGTGGTGTTTGTTCTGAGTGGAGTTCGTTAAACCCACCAGCTATTTTTTTTTTTTTGATCAAACGACCCACCAGTTCTGTCTAATAAAACTATGTTTTAAAGAACAATGGAGCTATTTGAATGGAGAGCTAGCGGTGATTGCTTCCGGTTAAGGAACTATTTCCAATTGACTTTCTCTCGCTTCTCATGTCATCGTGCTGCTTAAAGCCTTCATCCCCTAGTAGTATTTTCTCCTTTGTTCGTCTTCGACACTTTTGGTGTTGTGCTCCTGATGTTTGATCTAGGCAGTGGCTTAGCGTTGCTAGCTTTTTCTTCACCTTAGTGACGCTTAAAGTTTTGTTTCGTGGAGACAATTTTAAGATTTTTAGATTATTAATTTTATCCTATTTTGAAGGTTTTATTTATTTATTTTGTTTCAGCATACCGAATCTAACTTGTGGGGATTGGTGAACTTTATCTTTTAAATCTTTTTTTTCCTTATCGTATCTACGTATTGTAATGAAACCCTCCAAAAAATATGAAAGTCATTTACAAAAATACTAAAATATTAGATAAGAAAAAAAACACGAGTTTCTAATTATTAAATACTAACATATTTAATACATAAATAAAAAATAAATTTATTTTATAAAATAATTATTAATCAGTTACTTACATATATCATCAATAGATAATAAACATAATGATTTTATTTTTTCAAAAATTGATATCACAGTAGACGACTCGGAAAACATGAAATTTTAATCAAATTTTCAAAATAAATTTTAGGTGAATGTGATTTCATCCCTTAATATCAACATTTTCTCATATGAAATTATTTTTTTTATTTTGTATCCATAATCTTATTTATACTTCCATAGATTTTCTTATATTTTTTTGTAAATTACTTTAATCCAAAGATAAAAAGTATACCAACTTTATTTACATAAAATATCAATTTTAAGCTTAACACTAGTCAAATATACTAATGAGATTAACTGTTTAGAAAACAAAAACTAAGGTTGAAACTTTTTAATCAATACTCTCTCCATTTTATTTTAGTTGTCGTTTTAGGTTTGTGCATACAAATTAAAAAAATCATTTATTTTTTTATATTTTCAAAATAATAATATCATTACCTAATCACCTAACCACCTTTTAACCAATAAAAATATAGAATGACATATGAAGTAAATAAATTTTACATTGAAATTATAAAATGAGACTTATTTTGAAACGAAATTTTTTGTCTACAACGACAACTAAATTGAAATAGAGTGAGTAATAGATTGAATGAGGATTAGAATACTTAATCAACAAAATATAGTTTCTCTTACTAACAAACAAGTTGGAGATATTTTTGGGTCAGAAGGTGAACAATTAAAGAAGTTTTGATCCTAACTTCATTTTTATCTGTGGAGTCAGAAAAACGCTCCAAAATCGTAAGAAAGAATTGTGGAAAGTTAACTAAACTGCAGGAAAATTTAAATTTGCAGAATCGCAAAATACATATTAGAATGATTAAATATTTTATATGGTAGTTAATTTATTATAAGAAAAAATAAAATAAAACTAACTACTAAATGTGAAAATAACTAAAATTTTTTAAAAATACTTTACTTATTATTATGAATATTTAATTAGCTTATTTTCCAATACACTTTTAATAATGGCATGTTATAACATAATAAAACAATAAATTATAATTTTATGTACAACATAAATATGTGTCAACTAGGTGTTTTGCCCGCACATGCGGGCATAATTTTCATACAATTTATTATTAGTCTAAATTTTATTAATTCAAACCAATATAATAAGTTATGATCTATGTTTTAAAATAATTATAGATGAAAACACTCACATAACAAAATATTTTTACAAATGTGTTGGTTTAATTTATTTTAATTATATTTTTTCTATCTTAATTTTTTATTTCTATAATAAAAATATATTTTCAAGATAACAATATAATACATAAGAAATATCTTATTTTCTGAAAATATAATTAATTTTTAACAAAAATTCGTTTTTATTTTATAATAAATTTTATATGAAATTATTAAAAATATGACAAATAATCTAAATTATCTAAATCATGGAGAAATTACAAATTAGATAATTCACTTAAATTTTCTAATAGAAAATATATGTTTAAGATAACAATCTAATACTTAAGAATTATCTTTTTTTAAAAAAAAAAAATCTAGTATTGTTATATACATTCCTTTTATTATTTAATAAATTTTATATGAAATTATTAAAATATGATAAATAAGCAAAGTATAAAACCATGGAGAAGTTGATAAATCAACATTGCTTTCTTTATATTTAGCTATTAATATTGTGACTTAATTTTTAATTTCTATGATTAAAAAAATATATTTTAAAGATAGCAATATAATACATAAGAATTATCTTGTTTTGTAAAAGTATAATATTATTAATAGAAATTCGTTTTATTAAATAATAAATTGTATATGTAATTAGTTAAATAAAATAAATAAACAAATTTAGCTAAAATCAAGGAGAACATGACAACTAAGCAAATTTACTTCTTAAATAATAGTATAGATTAAAATTATGCTATATATTTTAAAAATTAAATGGTATTATCATATAATTTAATAATATGATAATGTTGATTTTGCAAGTAATTTACTAAAACTTATTTGTCCATTTAATGAAAAATTTCTTTGTATTTTTGTTAGTGACAATGTAAACTTTTGTTGGTGCGTTGTTTTCATTCCAACGCTTTTATCGATTGACAAAATATTTGTGGAACTGCTTTTAAAACGATATTCGCCATTCAGCAAGGTTATCGATCAGAGACAAACTTGGACATGCTACTTTCATATGAAGAAAACTAGTCCATTCTAGGAAATATATTTTTATTAATTGTTATAAGAATATTAAGGGAACTAAAAAATAATAATTAGATTTTTAGTGAGAGATTAGAGAGAAATAATAATAGAAATAAAGGAAGAGAGTGTTTTTGGTTGTATATACTGACAAATTTCCCCAATACTAAATTGAAACTTTGTCATAAATTCATGTTCACCCACCCTCACAGCGAGAAAAACACATGAAAATATTCCCTCGCCTATCCTCATTTTCCCAGTCATAACAGTTTTAACCAACACTCGAATGTTGGACGAAAAAGCGTCACGCCATAAATACAGTAATCATAAACACACACCCACACGTTTCACCATCTTAACCATATATCAAAATCCAACGGTCAGCAGGAATTCAACCACAGAGTAGTCGCTCTCACATAGTAACCAATCTTCATGCAACAACCATTATCGTCATGACACGTGGCGTAATTGTCGCATCCGTCTCACACCGGCCACACAGCGTGGCATAATAATATTATCGTATTTTTAATTCGAAATTATGTTTTTCATGTTATAGTTTTAAGATATGAACTGGGAACGCGAACTCCTCGCGGGATTAGAATTGCAAAGCAATTTTCTCTGCGAATTCTTAGGGTTTCTGAATTTGTCTCAATCGATTTCTCTCTAGTCAAAGCAAAGCTTCGTCGTTTCTCCATGTAAGTCACCGCGAAGATCTCTCTTTGATTTTGCTTTACTTCGTATTGTTTCTGGAGAATCGGGTCTTCGGTGGATTTGATTCGTTTTCGCTGCGTCTTCTTCTTTATTGTTGTATTGTGTTCAGAAGCTTTACTCGAATCTGGTTCTCTTATTCATAGTGTTTCTGGGTTTCTAGGCCATTTAGATTGTAATGGACAATCGGATTTGAGTTTGGGAGAGGAAGAAGACGTAGTATTTTATCAGTTACAACAGAAATTGAATACTTGGATCTATGAACATTACTTTTGTGTGTTACCAACTTAACTTCCTCTGCAAGTTTAGCTACTGATGATGGTTTTATTGTTGTTGGGGTTATTGTTCGTAACGTTCTTTCTAGTTTATTATATCACAAAAGCATGAATATTAAGTATAGCATTTATAAATATAATGAGGCGTTTCTGTGATTAGTTTGTTTTCGTAGGCTCACACTCGTACCTTCAAAGTTAGCCCAATTTGTGTAACGAGTCTTTAAGGAACCAAGCATTGGATTGCATAGATTTGCTTTTATAATCTTATGAGCTCTAAGCTTATTGTTTTCTGACTCTTTACAGTTCATTTGCGTTTATACGATCCTCTTCTTTTGTTTGGTTAGCCATCGACTTAATACGCTTACGAAGTTCTTCTCCACCTGCAACATTTAGTAAGGCGGAGGACGAACTAAGAGCGAGATGGAGATTTCAGCTCTTTTAACATCTGCTGGAATCAATATCTCGATCTGCATTGTGCTTCTTTCCCTTTATTCAGTACTTAGGAAACAGCCAGCCAATTACTGTGTCTATTTTGGACGAAGGCTTGTTTGTGGAGGTGCTAGACGTTATGATCCTTTTTGGTATGAGAGGTTTGTGCCTTCTCCAAGTTGGTTGGTGAAAGCATGGGAAACTAGTGAAGATGAGTTGTTAGCTGCTGCTGGTCTCGATGCTGTGGTTTTCCTCAGAATGGTCATTTTCAGGTTACTCAAAATGAGTCGTTAGCTGCCTTTTGTTTCTTCGTTGCTTTGGTACTGTTCAACGATTTGCCTTACTGTTTTTATCTCTTTCCTGCAGCATTCGTATCTTCTTCATTACTGCTGTTGTTTGCATTGCTTTTGTGCTGCCTGTTAACTATTATGGCCAGCCAAAGATGCATAAGGAAATCCATTTGGAGTCATCCGAAGTCTTCACCATTGAAAATCTTAAAGAAGGCTCAAAATGGTAACTGTTCACCTTTGTTTTCTAGTTCAACGTTATTCCAGACACTTAAAGTGCTGATTTTTTTTTTGTAACTCTTATCTCTCAGGCTGTGGGTTCATTGTCTTGCACTGTACATTATAACCTCAGCAGCATGTCTTCTTCTCTACTCTGTGAGGACCAACTTGGTTTATCCCATGCATACTTAGTCTTGGTGCCTCCATATCATCTTTTCAGTTTACTTTTCCTCCTCATAGGCATTTGTTTTACTGTAGGACTATAAGACCATAGCCAAAATGAGGCTTGGACATATTACTGGATCTGCCTCAAAGCCAAGTCAATTTACCGTTCTTATCCGTGCTATTCCATGGTCTCCTGACCAATCTTACAGCGACACACTAAGCAAATACTTCACAAATTACTATTCTTCAAGCTATATGTCCCACCAAATGGTTTACCATAATGGCATCATTCAGAGACTCCTGGTACGCAATCTCCTGGGTCCACTCATTGGTCTTTTTCTTTTGTTATCTGTCCCACTAAATGGTTCCTCTTGATTAACCTTGTCAGATAGAATGTTTTTAAGAAAAGCTGCTCTTGCTCTTAGTGTAAATGATCTGTAAATTTTGCCTGCGTTATGCATTTCTTCTTCTTCTCCTTCCGGTATTAATTTTTGTTGATAGCTAATCCTCTGCTTAGGATGTTACTAACTACTATTTATTTGATGACTACAAGCAGAGATTCTCTTTCATAGAACAGTTGATGTAATGGTTAAATGTAGTTTGAGTATGAGCTAAACTGAGATACATTTTAGATGCATAATTTTGGCGTATAAAAGGTTCTTCCTGAGGAATTTATTTATATCCAATCTGTAGCGCTTTCATTAATAGCTCATGATTTCTACCTGCTGTGGTTGGTATCTGTCAGCATGTGGAATCAAAACAGAAGTAGTTAGAAATTTGGGTTGAATGCTGTGGATGGTGTTCTTGTATCAGAGAAAAAGTTGACCTTTAGTATCACAATTTTTGTTTCAGCTTGATGCGGAGCGAATGTGCCAGAGTCTAAAACATGTTGCTCCTGAAATCAATTGTAAACCGAGTTTGACTCCATGCACCTTTTGTGGAGGGCCTACAGCCACAAATTCTTTTCACATCCTCTCTAATGAAGGTGACAGTGTGAAAGGAATGGAGCTTGGTGAGTTATCTATGACTACACCAGAGCAAGTAAGGAATTCTTCTAACTTCAATTGATCTTAGAAGTAGCAGAGCGTAACTTGAAATATTCATAACACAATATAGAATAGTTCTAAACCATATTATTGATTTGTACTACAATACTGTCCATTAAGATTTGCACTCTTATGCTAGAGACTAGAAGTAGCAGTGAATGGTCACAATATAGAATGGTTAACTAAGGCCACGAAATGTTCTGCTCCTTTGCAGGAACGTCCAGCTGCTTTTGTGTTTTTCAAGACACGCTATGATGCTCTTGTTGTTTCAGAGGTTCTACAATCATCAAATCCTATGTTATGGGTGACAGACTTAGCTCCAGAACCTCATGATGTGTATTGGAGGAACCTTAACATACCTTATCGACAACTTTGGATACGGAGAATAGCAACTCTCGTTGGTGCAGTTGCCTTCATGTTTGTGTTTCTTATTCCCGTGACCTTCATTCAAGGGCTGACTCAACTACAGCAACTGTCTCATGCATTTCCTTTTCTAAGAGGAATTTTGAAGGAGTGAGTATATTGTTTTGTTTTCACTCTTCTGGTCATGATAACACAACTGCCATTAAAAGTAGATAGACCTCCGGACAGCATACAGAATACACGAGAATTCTCTCTAGATTTATAAGAACAGAACTCTTTTATCTTTCTTAAAGTTATTCAACCATTCAAACCATTTTGCAGGAAGTTTATAAACCAGGTCATCACAGGGTACTTACCCAGTGTGATCTTGATTCTGTTTTTCTATGCCGTTCCACCATTGATGATGTATTTTTCAACTTTGGAGGGAAGTATTGCGAGGAGTATAAGGAAGAAGAGTGCTTGCATCAAAGTCTTATATTTTACTATCTGGAATGTGTTCTTCGTGAATATATTATCCGGGTCAGTTATCAGGCAACTGAATGTTTTTTCTAGTGTCAGAGACATACCTGCACAACTGGCAAGAGCAGTCCCGACACAGGTGAGATACCCATATTAGTTTTAAACCGTATACCAGGGTATAAGTCATTGTATCATTTGATTTTGTGTTCTTTAGACCTCCTCCATTGCTTTAGCGTATTGCCATGTTTCATCTTTTAAAGGCTTAATGAAAATTTGTGAATGATTCTGAATATGGCTTCAACCATTGACATATGCAGGCTGGCTTCTTTACGACCTATTGTTTCACATCTGGTTGGGCCAGTTTGGCATGTGAAATAATGCAACCTATGGCTCTTATATGGAATCTGGTAGCAAAAGCTATTTCCAAGAACAAGGATGAGTCATACGAGACACTTAGGTTCCCATACCATACGGAAATTCCTCGGCTGCTTTTGTTTGGGCTCCTGGGTTTCACAAACTCAGTCATAGCGCCACTTATTCTGCCGTTTTTGCTGATATACTTCTTCCTTGCATACCTGGTATACAAAAATCAGGTAGACATTATCTGATCTCTTTTAACATATATCGTAATGGACTTCTATTCATCAATTAGTGAAACTTTGGCTAACAATTGTTGTATCATTTGGATAGACTGTTGCCTTAGCAGAGTTGTTTCTTTCTTGCAGATACTCAACGTGTATATTACAAAGTATGAAAGCGGTGGACAATACTGGCCTATCTTTCACAACACAACAATATTTTCACTGATATTGACACAGATTATAGCTTTGGGTTTTTTCGGATTAAAACTCTCAACGGTTGCTTCGGGTTTCACCATACCGTTAATTCTTCTCACTCTGCTTTTTAGTGAGTATTGCCGGCATAGATTTGCGCCCATTTTCCATAAACATCCCGCTCAGGTTAGAACAGATGTAACCAAAGGCTATTATGCTCACTCTACGGTTGGTGCTTGACAAATCAGTTTTTTTCCTGCAGGTGCTTATAGACATGGACAGAGCTGATGAAATGGCTGGAAAGATGGAAGATTTACACAAGAAGTTGCATAGTGTATACTCACAAATACCATTACACTCTCAGAAATCATCGAGCAAAGGTGAATGCAGTACTCCTTTCGCGAATCAGGAGTTACCAGATCCTGAGAAACTGAAGCCAGGTTTGAATTCAGACCATTTGTTTGTTTGGTTTACTTGATTAAAGGATGAGAGGTTTACATTTTTTCTACTTTTTTTACAGAGGAAGGAGATGCAATAGCTAAAGAGTTATGGGGCTATCAGGGCAATGAATCTGGTCAAGAACAGGAAGACAAGTCCTGTCCCGGTGGTTCTACACCGGAGCATCGTACCCCCAAAGATGGTAGAATTCCACAAACGGAACTAGAACATTTTCACTAGGTGAAGTAATTGGTGATGCTACGTGCTAGTTCAGTCACTTGAACTACAATACGTCAAAGTGGTATACGCAGAAGATTATTCTGTCAAGGGCTCAGCTCCAAAAGGAGCCAATGGTAAATGAGAGTACTCACTCACTGTAAACTGATATGGAATTCATTTTCTTCAGTTGGAAGTTGGAACTAAACCAGGGAAATCATTAAAGCATGTACAGTCTTCTTGTTAGAAGCGAAGGATGTATATTTTAGTCACTGCAAGAAGAAATGTAACACTGAAAAATGTATAGGTTACTCAAATTTTCTTGCGATTTCTCCAAAGAATGAAGAGCAGAAGAGCTCTTTGTGCTTATGATCTTCTTTTCCACTTGGGGGGGGGGGGGGGGGGGGGGGGGGTNGGGGGTCGTCTTTATTTTGCTAACAAAACTTAAATGTGTCAGTGCACAAAAATTAAAATACGCATAGGTCTTAGTTCTCTGTCTACCCTATTTGTTGCTCGTCGAAATCAAAATCGAGAACTGAGGGTTGTACAAAGCATTTCGAACAAATGCGAGAACCTAAAGTTGTACAAAGAAGTGCATCCTCCACATCTTTTACATTAGTTTAAAGATAAATTTAATAAAAGGCAAATTATTGAAAAAAAAAAAAAAATTATTGAAAATGCTACTCATGAAAATGTTGACTTGCAGCAAAAGTATTACGACGGAACTATCATAGTTACGTCCTTGAACAAAATCTTTCGCCAAAGTAGATAGCACGAGAAAAAACATTTGCAACAATCAAACCTATTATAAAACGATGTCTTAACTGAAAATACTCAAAACTCATAAAGGCGGCTTTAAGCTTGGCCTTCAACCTCCTCAATAACCTTGGCCACAGAATCTGTCTTGGAAGACAAGAAATCCGTGTACTCTTGGTATGGCGATTTGTTGAAATTCGTCTCTTTCCAGAACTCTGGTGTAAGGAATCCATATGTCTTCTGAAGACAATCAAACGTAGCCTGTGTGGTGGTAACAACAACAAACATCAAGACCAAAATCATTCAATAGTGTTTTAACATAAACATAATCAAGAAAGTCATAAATCTTCTACAAATTGCAACAAACATTTTAACAAATACAGATTCAGGTAGATTAAGAATTACAAATATTAAGAATTTGATTTATTTATCATATAATATAAAACACCGTATAAAAGAATTAAATTATCAATAAAGCAAATATGATCAAGAAATGATTTACACTAATTAAGACAGGTGATGCTAATCTTCCCGAAAAATGCAGTTAGCATTCACAATCACATCAACAAGTATACTAAGAATCACACACATGTCTTTATCATATAATTCTCACATGAACCAACAAGCCAATGTTAACTAAATCACCACTAAGACAATCAATGTCGTATTCTCTGATGCAAGGAAGAAGAGAACCATACCTTAACGAAGTTTCCAAGGGTTTTGGTAGATCCTCTAGAGGAAGTAAAGACATCATCAATACCAGCGAACTGAAGAACCTTCTTAGGAACCCTAGCCGCCACAATACCAGCACCTCTCGGAGCTGGAACCATCCTCACCGTAACAGAACCACACTTCCCAGTAACCTTACAAGGAACCGTATGTGGCTTCCCAATCTTGTTACCCCAATAACCTCTCCTGACAGGAATAACTGACAGCTTCGCAAGAATAATCCCACCTCTAATGGCAGTCGCCACCTCCTTCGAGCATTTCACCCCCAAACCGACATGTCCATTACCATCTCCGACAACGACAAAGGCCTTGAACCTTGTCCTCTGACCAGCTCTCGTTTGTTTCTGGACAGGCATGATCTTCATAACCTCGTCTTTCAACGAGGGTCCGACGAGGAGATCAATGATTTGGTACTCCTTGACGGGGAGAGAGTGGAGATAGATCTGCTCAAGCTGCTTGATCTTACCATCTCGAACGAGACGACCGAGCTTGGTGACAGGTGTCCATTTCTCTTCTTCTGTGGGACGGCCTGCACGACGTCCTCGGCCTCTAGGACCGCCTCTTCCTCCGCCACGACCGCCGAATCCACGACCGAAACCACCACGGTCACCGCCACGCTCTGCGCCGCGCTCTCCTTCTCTTTCAGCCATTGTCGATGAAGTAAAACCTTAGCGGGGACACGAGTTTGGAATATATATATATATGTGTGGGCATTAGATTAGGGTTTTTTGAAACAAATTATGGGCCGACGTTTCATGTAACAAATTAATGATACAATTTGAGAAGCCCAGTCCTACTTGAGAAACCTCTAAAGGCATAATAGCTTTACTTATCTATCCTCTCTATATTAATTTTGGAGTATTATAACATACTAGATTTTATTACGCGCGAGTCTATATTAATAATTTAATTTAGTTTTAAAATAACTTAAAACCAAAACATTAAGTGAGTAATATACTTTTTATTTAAAATATAAACATTATTTTAGTATTTTATTTTCTTATAATTATGTTATCTTATTAGCTATTTAGTTATTTGTATTTGTAAATATAATAATTATGTTTGTAAACATATTCATAATTTTTGGAAATATTAATATATATTTCAAAATATTAAATATATTTCTCAATGCATGTAAACTGTTAACACGTTATAATATTTTCATCATACATTTTC